GTGAAATGGGTAGAGGTGGGCAGAAGAGAAAGTACCAATAAAAGCAGTTAGTTTTTCAGGGGTTTTCTTTTTAAAAAATTAATTTACAGCAAAGATCAGCTCCCAACAAGCAACAAAGATTGTCCCAAATATACAATAGCATTTATTAATATTATGGAGCTTCAGAAATTTTGGTAATTTCAGTATTCAGACAAATGCTGGATACAGCCTGATGAGTGGATTTGCACATCACCCACCCTATCCTACTCCCTGTGAATTGTTCCAGAGTGCACCTGAGAGACCATTGGGCTTTCAGTGGGTTGTTTTCCCCTTCTGCTCTCCAAAAGGTTTCCCAAGTTAAAGTCATCTTGTCCCCTGTTCCCATGCCACTGATGTTCCTTTTTTCAATCCCCCTCCATTTTCCAGTACTTTCACAATCTCTGCAAGTGAAAGTCACTGACAGTTTTACAAAGTTTCTAAGTGGCACTTCAGCACAACCCTCACTGGCTCCCCATCCACTTGAGGAGAAGAAATGTAATCAATTGTGTTCATAAATTTTTGCAGGTGACTTGGGCAGTCACAAGCAGACTGGGGAAATGGCGGGCACATCGCCCCTTTTATACTATGGGGGGAGGGCGCAGAGTTTCTGGCGAAACTGTCAAAGCTGTTAAATCTTCCTGGCAACAGCCCCTGCACAGGTGTAGCACCCATGATGTGTGATGCACAGAGGCCAGAATGAAACAGTATTGGTGAAAGTGAGGCTTTCCTGAGATAGAATATTTGCAGCTATGCAAAGAGTAAACATGATCACAAAAGCAAACGTTTCATTCAGTTCAGAAATAAAAGTTATTCCCAATTTATACAAACTGCTCTTGCCCTCAAGTCATCAAAACATTCTCCAAAGAACTCTAGAAGAAATTCTATAGGCTTTTTTTTTTTACTCCTGACCTCTCTCAGAAAGATTTTTTTCTACATAATTCCCAAGTTACAAAAACAGATTAAAGAATCACACCCATTTTTCATGACAGTAACATGGCAACTTCTCCAGAAAAAAAGAAAGCCTCAACTTGTAGAATTCATATAACTGTTATGCACATCCTTAACAGAACCTATGACCCAGAAATTGATAGAAATGAGGTTACTGCCAACCTCCCTGCTATCAAAGAAATCTTCAAGCCAATATTCCATAAACTGAAGGCTTGTATTGCATCTTGTGAATGTGGCCTCAAAAAAATGGGTAAGCTCAAGTGAAATAAGTAACATCTGAACTGATCCTGATCCTTGGTCTTAACCACATTAAAGAACCAATTTCACTTCATGCATATAGGGTAGACCACTTGCATCAGCTCACCAGCTATGATTAACACTTTACAAAGTAGAATGCTTAACAAAGCAAAGGGCGGCAAAGAAGAAATTCTTCTCCACTTCCATTGCCTCCTCACAGTGCCATACAGCGAAGCTTTTTTGAGTAGTACATGGGCTGATACACCCCGGCCCTAAGAAAGATCCTGTATCACCATCGATGACCATCAACTTTGCCCAGCACTTCAAGGAGAAAATCACTCAGATTCTTCACGAGTTGGACTCCACAATTGATTCAGATCCCTTAGGGGAGACACTAATGACCCCGTCTGGTCAGGTATTAATGGATGAATTTCAGTTAATGAGGCCCAATGATGTGGACAAGGTACTTGGACAAGTACGTCCTACCACCTGCTTACTCAACCCTTGCACTTCGTGGCTGCTAACCAAAGCCAAATACAGGATTGGTTCCTGGATCCTGGAGGTTATTAACGCCTCTCTGAGGGAGGGCCGGGTGCCCGCTCCTTTAAAGGAGGTGGTAATCAGGCCTGTTCTAAAGAAGGTGTCTCTGGATCCAGAGATGGCTGCCAATTATAGACCGGTGGCCAACATCCCATTTTTGGGCAAGGTATTGGAAAATATATACTAAAATATATACTTTTAAGACTAGAAAAAATTAACATGTCCTATTAATCCAGTGAGGTGACATTGGTTTTTCCTATTGTGGGATAATTCATCAAGGGTAAGGACGGAGCTTTAGTCATATTACAATGATGTATGAAGGGACTGGTTCATAAGAAAACAGACCATGAAAAAAATCACAATTTTATTTTTTAACGGTGGCTTCAAGTAATAAATCTTAAGCCTTGAAGAGAGGATTGCTTGATTCTGCCCCAGATCCCCACTCTTCTAATGTTTCCACACAAGTACAATCACACTGTGTTCACTGGGGATGGAGACTATTAGAGTCCCTCTTGTATCCCTCTCCTAATTCCCAATCCTGTTGCAACCCTGTCCCACATCATGCATGTACCATTCTTTATCTGGCCAGCAGCTGCAAAACCAAACAGACATTCCATGGTAGTGTTTCCTATGCTACATGCATTACAATTCCACGGAATACTATGCATGTGAAAAGGACAGAAGCTGCTGTACATGCATAGTGTTCAAATAATGCCTCTAGACTGCTCAGACACGGGCATAAGAATGTAAGAACAGCCATGGTGGGTCAGAGTAAGGGTCCATCTTCTACAGCTGTCTGTTCACAAACAGGCCAATCAGCTGCCTGCAGGAAACCCATAAGCATGATGTGCGTGCAACAGCACCCTCCTACTGTTTCCCAGCAACTGATGGACAAGGCATACTACCTTTGATTCTGGAAATAGCATATAGCCATCACAACTAGACTGCTTCTCCATGTATTTATTCAATCCCATCCTGAAGCCATCCAAATTGGTGGCCATTAATCATATGGACATGAAATCCATAATTTAATTATGGACTGTGTGAAGAAGAAAAGTACTTCCTTTCATCCATCCTGGATTCCAGGCAGCTTTGTGGGATGACTCTGGGTTCCAATACTATAAGAGAGGGAGAAAAATGTCTTCCTATTCACCTTCTCTATACCATGCATGGTTTTGTACACCTCTACCATGTCTTCCCTTATTCACCCTTTTTCTAAGCTCAACAATCCCAGCTTTTATCACTCTTCCTCATAGGGAAGCTGCTTCAGCCCCTTATTACTGTTGTCCTTTTCTGCAGTTTTCCCGACTTTAGACTATCCTTTATAGGTCCGGTATTTAGGTTCACAATATCCTAAGAGAGGTTACATCATAGTTTTGCGCAAGATGAAAGTGATATTGGCAGTTTCACTTTTTATTCCTTACCTAATTATGCCTAACATGGATTTTGCCTTTTTCACAGCAACCATCCACAACCTCAAGACCTTTTTCTTGGTCAGTCACCATTAGCTCAGATCCTATCAGCTTACACTTGAAATTGGGACATATTACTCCAACATAGCCTAACTGTGCATGTGCCTTAATAAAAAAACCACTTAAAAACAGAAGGTCCTTAAATTCTTTTACCACTATTTACATAGGTCTAACTTCTTTATTACTAAATTAATTAAGGGCTTGCCTAAAATATTTTGTCTGCCTTCAGATCAAAATAATGGCAAAAATGGAAGTTACTGATTTGTTGCTTTCAAAATATTATAAAAGCTTCCACATAAGAACACAAATGAAGGGAGACAAGAGGCATATATTCACATGTTCAGCTCTAAAAATTAGTTTCTACATAAACATAATAGGAAAACAGATTTTGGTTTCCTTAATTCTCACAGGAAATGGACCAGAACTGAATAAAACCACAAATCTGCCTACAATCTTTGGCAGCTTCCAGAATATAAAATGTGATTCTGTTAAAACAAAAGAAGTCTCCTATATGCCCCTCCACCTCTTTTACCTCAATGAGGTATCAAACATTCAAAGACTGAGTTTAGACTGTGGACCCAACAAAAATTTCAGCCCTACTCAGAATTTCACCCAGTTCTACCAAATGAGCTAGCATGACATTTACCACGTGAACTTACATTTATATAGGAGAACACAGGGCTTTTTTTATCATAGAACGCACTGGAACAGCGTTCTGGCACCTTTTTTTCAATGGATTTTACGAAGGCTGCTATTGTGTCTGTGATCTGATAGTGAGAGATAGCTGTTTCTGACACTGCTCTGCTGCTCGACTTGGGATTGGTGTGTGTGCTTACTGCCGGCGGCGACCTGAGTTCCGGCACTTTTTTTTTTTTTTTAAAGCACTGGGAGAACATATCAAACACCAGCGCTGTAATATCGGAGACACCAGCTGTAATATCAGAGACACCAGCGGAATTCTACTAATTCAGGCTTACAAGCGGAGAGATAAAAACTTATGGGTATTTTGTAGCACTGTTGTCCTTATTTCCTTTGCATTACCACAACAAAACTTTGCAAAACATTGCTGGGGAGCAGTGCTTTAAAAAATGTTATGATGTTTCATGGTTAGACATTTTCCTGCCATAATTCATTATGGATTTACTAATGCCACAGATTACTGATTTATAAACAGCAGCAGATCTTTCTCCCTAAGCTAAAGTCTAAAAATATTGGCTTGTTAACATTCTAATAATTGTTTAGCTCAAACATTTCAGTAATGGAGTTTATGGTCCTCTAAAACAGAACCAGGAAAATCACTATAAACACTGATATTGTATAAATATACTGTGAGAAAGTACTGATAAAAAGGAAAAAGAAAAATAAATGTGAACTGCAGAGACTGTCTAATGTTGCCAAGAGTAATAATAACATTTTAAAGTGGTTTTTAAAGTTGTATTTTTAAAAAATGGAATATCATTCTGAATTTTTTATCTTGCAACTGTAATTCCCTTTTGTCATTCATAACATAATAATGTTTGAACTTCTTAAGTCAATTTAGGATAGCATCTTTTCCCCCCTTCTTTTTACTTGTTATTAAATGCAATATTGGTCCTTCATCAAGTCCAGTTCAAGCTAGCACAAATAAATTACAGTTTAGCTAGACTAAAAGTATACTTAATGTAATTTGAATTATCCTAATTGGCCCAGTTTGGATTACACACAACTATGCTGGGGAAAAAAGGCAGAAACCTGGCAAGGGAAAAAAGATACAATTACTTGACTGTGAAGTATAACTTTACATACCTTGGCCTCCGAAATGCTATACCATATTGTTGGCATGCCAGACCCACAGTGGGAGTATAAACAATAGGCATGAATCTTTCAATGTCAGAAATGAGCACTTTATAGAATAGTTTTTCATTTTGATCCTGAAGTCCCATTAGCAAAATATACCTGTGAAAAATGAGTTATAGATTAATCTCCCACATGTAGTTCGACAGCAAATTAATATAAAATTGATAGTATTCGTTAAAGCTAATTTTCTCTCTGAAAAACAACTTTTTTTATCCAAGACACCATGATATCCCCACCTGATTTTACCTTTTTTTTTTAAGTGTGACATTATTTTGCACATGTATTATTATTTTATTATTATTCCCTTTCTATCTTAAGTGGCAGAATGGAATAAAAATATTAAAATCATCAGGAAATGAATCATAGTAGCATATTATATGCAATTATCTATATCTAGAATCTAATAAACTGCTCATCCCTATTCTTCTCTTTAGCATGGAAATGATACTAGGATTACAATCATATGCAGACTTGTTTGATAGTAGGTCCCATAAGGTTTCCTTTTGAACATACATGTGTAGGACTTCAAATTAAGTAACCTTGCTACATTCCAGATGCATTTCTATATCTGTTTGTATTCTCTTGATCTGTTTTTCTCAGAAAAAAATGCTTGGGGGAGGGATTATACATTCAAAAGTAGTATATAGTTCCAAAAAATAGTATATAGTATAGATTGCCTATGTACTCACATGCAGAAGCTCCATATAAACTACTTTGTATTCCAACCAATGTCAGATAATTAAAAATGTATAACAACAAAGAATAGTTTAAATTAAACATGTTTTATCTGCTAAACAGAAAAATAAACTGAAATTTTGTATGTTTTTACTCTGAATTGTCAGAACTTTTTGCAAAATGTACTGCATATTATTTGATGCTCAAATGATATTCTTATATCCTACCCAAGATCCATCTTTGTCTTAAAGGTTCTTGAATTCCTAGAGAGTTTTCCTTTCTAAAGTAACAGAGTTCATAATTCTTCTCTTTGAGTGATATACAGTTTTGCTGTGTGTACTTTTTCAAGACACACATTTCATTTCTATAGGAAACTGACAGGTGGAAAATGTATTATGCATAACCTAATGCACACTATGCCAGACAGTTCAGGCATGCATGGCAGCCAGAGGACTGAAACATAGCCTTTTTCTGAACAGTTGCCCATTCTCTTTTTATTTCTTCATTCTCCAGAACCAGCTGCTTCTATTTAAACCCTAAATGATCTTTCATTCTACTATCCATTTCTTTACAGCAACTGTGGAAGAGAGATTCTGCAAAAGTGATCTTCTGGGCAAGGTATGTGGAAAAATTACTGCCAAAAGATCTTTGAGTGGGGGGAACTCTTCTAAAAAGCTACCAGAAGAAAATGCAAGACTGGAATATTGTCCCATAGCTTGATTGTCCTATAATAGATAATAAATAGTGTTTCATGTTTAAAATGGAACAAAAATGACCACAATTTAAATAGGTCACTGTTTTGATACCGTGAAACTAACACAGATACAACCATATTGCCACAATACCATATTTACCATATGAGTAAATTAGGTAACCCATATACAGACTTTGAGTTAGGAAACGGAGAAGAGACCTCCTGAACACTGAGAGCAGAGAAACCCTGCGTTCCTTCAGGGAAACAGTTTTTAAAAAGAACCACATCCTTTCAAAACCTACAAAAATGATGGAAAGTATCAGGGCGTTTTTTGTCATAGAACGGTTCCGGCACCTTTTTTCAATGGATTTTACGAAGTGATTTTTTGAGTAGCAGATCAGCAGCAAACATAATTAACATAGTGCCTGCAGGCTGCTATTGTGTCTGCTATCTGATAGTGAGAGATAGCTGCTTGGGACCGGCTTGGGATTGGTGTGTGTGCTTACTGCCGGTGGGGACGTGAGTTCCGGCACCATTTTTTTTTTTTTTTTACAAAAAAAACACTGGTAACTATACAGATGTGTTGTCTTCACACTCAGTGCAATGCGCTGACATGAGCCCAAATCTGGTATGGTTTACCAGTTAAACTGCAGGGGTAGTTGCTTAGGATTGGGCACACTGGTTCTCTTAACTGCTGGTGCCACAGAACTACCAGGGAATAAAATCTATCCACTATCACTGTATCACAAATTGCAGAATTATGGCTGGCAACAGGGCTATATTCTGTTTTCACAGAGGCAATGGTAAGAAGAGGGTCTGCTAGGCATTATCTATCTAAAATTAATTCAAGGCTGCTTTTAAAGGTGAAGACAACATTTAAATCTTTCAAATACTCTGAGTGAACACTCTCAGGGCCAAACAAGGCATGGCTCTCCTCATATGACTGAGTGATTTTTCTTTAAGTAATAGATAGTGCAGGGGCATGAGTTGGATCAGGAACATTACTTTAACCCTTTACTCCACTGCAATCTCAATTAGAATCAACCCCTTCTGGGCCAGCAATAGAAGAAATGAGGCAGGGGACAGAGGTTATAGTCTCATCGTGACAAAGGGTTAACATTCCCCCTCACTCTCTATTGTCCTAATCACATCCCTCCCACACAAAGAAAAGATGAATCAAGGCAGGGCAAATCATGCAGCAAACACTGAAGCAGATTTTTTCTGCAGAGTCAGTCTCACACAGAACTGGACCCAAGAAAAACAGGTGCCCATCCAAACGTACACCACAGTGTAGATGCTGCTTGTACTCCCCTGCTTGCAACAGAATGTGCATCCTGATATGTATCAAGTTCACATTCCGCTGAAAGCAGTGTAGTGGAGAATGACTACATGCATTTGGGCAGGCTTTTGCCTGGTACCACTTTTTTCAGGTCTGCACTTATAACAGTTGTACTAGCTTTACAGGAAACACCTACAGACATATCACTGCAGTAATTTTTATACCACAAATAAGATTTTTATAATATCAATAACATTATTTTATTTTGAATTTTTAACAGGAACACTGACCAGTTCCATCAATTACTGCGACCAATGATTACCAATGTTTAGATTTAATTACCATACAACTGGCTACCATCTGAGAGGGGCAGTTTGTGCACTTAGTTTGGCTTTCCCATTCAGAGGGGCCTGTTCACACTTTTGGGGGAATGTCCATCTAGCTGGAGCTTCCTTCCCCCTTTCTGGCATGTTGCTGCCATTTTTCCAATTTCAAACTTCTCAAACAGTCCATTGTGCTGAAGTACTGCACTATTACTGAATTGACCTAAGGACATTGCTCACCGCAATTTACAAATGAAACTTCTGAATAATGGGATCACACAGAGAGATCCATATTATCAGCCTGTAATTATGGTAATATAATCATGTTGTTAGTTTACCTCTGTACTCAGGTGCTGAACTAAAAACCCAAGAAGTTTATCAGATTTTGTTTGGTTATATTGGAAGAAAGACTTCTTTTGTAACTCTGTTATATAGAAAAGAAAGGGATTGTGTGGCTCTCCAGATGCTGATGGACAACAACTTCCATCAGTCTTTACTAACTTAGCCAATGGCACAGGATGATTGTAATGGAAAACAATTATCCTTCAGACTCAACACTTCTCCAAAGTTTGCAAATTTTGCAAATTTTCCAATGCACTTATTTTAAAGAAGGGTATATATTTGGAAAGCTCCCTGTGCCTAGTTTTATGCTTTGAGCAATCTGTGGATGAGATCATGTCCTTCTGCTATTGGCTCTGCATATATTCTAGTTCTTGCTTTATGACTATAACACACTGTGCTAGACCAACATATCAGAGGTCAATAGAGATGACCTTTTACCATCTGTAAAGATTAAGGATTGTGTTTGTAACACATTGTACTAGACCACATTATCATAGACCTCCTATCAGCTGAATTCTACCACTGATTAAAGAATGCAACAGCCATCCTTATTCAGCATAAATTCATTTTAAACGTTTTATTATAGCAGTCTGTCACATCTTCCCAAAATATTTTTAAGCACAGCTTGGAGACTTCACCTGTCCAGATCAGAGGCTTGTCTTTCAAAGTTTTTTAGAACCCTTAAAACTTGGATTTCTTGACTGAGAAAACAGGGAGGCAGTAATCCTTGAATATTCAGCTGTTGTCTCTCTTCCAAGGTGAAAGCCAGACCCTGTCCAGAAAAAAAGTATGTTCAGCAAAAAGAATATAAAATGTTATTATGACTAGTTTGTTAGAGAGATTCACACTGTGCAGCAAACACATTTCTAAATGCATACTACCACATTTATAATATAGTTCCACCAAACCTGTGGAAATGATTCCTATATAAAAATTGGCAGGATTGATCCAACAGCCCCATGACATATGCTACTTCAGATTCCCAGCTCCAAAGTCTGAAAGAGAGCTCCAGTCTTGGAGCCAGGAATTCGCAGTCTGCCCCAACCCCGACCCGCACAGCTTGTGCAGAAATAAGTGCCAGCAAGAGGCATTCCAATAGGCTGGGAGGGGAAGAGCCCAGAGAGGCCCAAGTGGGTCCCCACAGTTCCCTTTCCCGGCCCCTCCCAAGCAACCCAGATAAATGACTGCAAATTGCCATATCGAAAAGTACATAAGAACCAGAGCGGTGGAGAGTGCCTCTGAAGCTGCTCCAGCTCTACGTAGGATGCTCATAAGCCTCCCAAGTTTGGACTGTGCCCTAAAAGAGTCTGGGCACAATCCAACTTGGACTGAGTAGTGAGTATTTATAATTAATATCAATATTGGTTTTATGTCAAGCAAAATAAAAACAAGCTCACAAGCCATGAGGCATGTTAGGTAAGCTTGACCTCAGGAAGAGTGACTTAATGCCTTGGGCTAGGCAGTTTGAGTGAGATGAAGAATGAATGATGAATACTGAAGATATTGGGGAGAAAAGGCCATGCATGATCTGAAGGTTTTCCCTTAAAGTGATTAGACAAAATGACTCTGCAGGGTATGGCTACCATAGCCCTGAGCAAGCACAATAAACCACCAGACACCTGGAAATTACCCCATTAATAGCAGCCAGGAAACACAAAGAACATGCCTTTTACCCAGAGAAAGCAGGCTGTGATAAAGTGATAGCTAAGGTCATCAAGAGCAATCAAGCATCCATCAAGCTGGGTTCTTTGAAGAACCCTGTTGGTTTTCCTGGACTCTCAGCAGCTTTCAATACCATCAAACATGGTGCCCTTCTGGACAGGTTTGCTGGATTGGGGGTTCGAAGCACTGCTTTGCTCTTACCTCACCACCCAATTTCAGAAGGTTGTGATCAGTGATTACTGCTCTGCATCATGGCAGTTATGCCATAGAGTATTGCAGAGCTTTTTTTAATACCCCATGCCATTTAAACCACAGGGAGAGGTTGCTAATTAATTGGATAAGGGCCAATAAACCGAGACTTAATTCAGATAAGACAGAGGCGCTGTTGGTAGGGAATAGTCTGTCCTGTTAGGTGATATTAAACCTGCCCTGGGTAAGGTCACATTCCCCCTAAAAGACAGAGTTCACAGTTTTGGGGTGCTTCTGGATCCCTGTCACTGGAGTCACAGGTTGATTCAGTGTCTTGGAACACCTACCATCAGCTCAGGCTAAATTAACAACTACAACCCTATCTGGACAGGCAGAGCCAAGCAACAGTGCTCCATGCACTGGTAACCTCTAACCTGGACTACTGTGGTGCATTCTATGTGGGGCTGCCTTTGAAGATGGTATGGAAACTTCAGTTGGTTCAAAATAGAGTAGAAGGCTGCTGACGGGGACTTACTGATATGAACATACCAAGCCAGTCCTCTTCCAACTCCATGGGTCCATTGAAGCCTAGGCCCAACTGAAAGTGTTTACATTAATATTTAAAGCCCTAAACAGCTTGTGGCCAGCTTATCTAAATGAAAACCTCTCCCCTGGATCCTGTGATCATAGTCTGAGGTCCTTCTCAGAGAACCACCCCTAAAGGAAATTTAGAGGGTGGCTACTAAAGGAAGGGCTTTCTCAGCTGTGGTACCTCAGCTGTGCCTCACACCCATTCTTTAGTCCTCTCAGTGCCAGGTAAAATCTTTTTATTCACCCAACATTTTAAAAGTTAAATAATTTTAATCTTTAAAAAATCTCTTAATTTTGTTTACATTAATTTTGTTTTATAGTACCTTACTGCTGTACCCTTGATTAATTTGAGTATGGCTGTTGTGGGCCTATGGTTGCTATTTTATTGTTGCTATTTTTAATGTATTACAGTGGTGGCTCATGGTTCAAACAACTCTAATTTCGAACAATCCAGAATTCGAATGTTAGAGTCAAGATAAAATCACTTCAAAGTTGGAACAACACTTCTAAATTTGAACTGCAGGCACAGTGAAAAAAATGTGGTCACTGTGTAAACATCATCAGTTGTGCACCCAAGTTGTTTCTAGCTGGGAAAGGATCTCTTAGATCTTTGCCTTTTCACTGCATGATTTTTCAATCTTTTTCAGTGCCTTTTCAATCATTTCCAGTGCTTTTTCGGTGTGTGCCTTTCGATCCTCTTTAATACCTTTTAACTGCCTGCCTTCACGATCCTTCTCAGTGCCTTTTAACTGTGTGCCTTCTCAAACCTTTTCAGTGCCCCCTCCATTGGCACAGGCTGTGTGCTGGGCCATTATTGTGATCTATATCAGCCTGCTGAATAGGAGGTGGCATCTGTTTTCTTCCAGTGATGGGAACTTCAACTCCAAAGTCTTGCCATCAGATTAGGGGGTGATTGGGTAGGGTTTTTCAATGTGTGCCTTTTCAAGCTTTAATTAATATATGTGACATTTGTTATTTTTACCTTAAATTATGTGCATTTGCTGTTTACCAAGGTCTGGGAAAAGATTAATTCATTTTCCATTATTTCTAATGGGGAACAGTGCTTCGGACTTCAAACAATTCAGAGTTCAAACAGCCTCCTAAAACAGATTAAGTTTGAAGTATGAGGCACCACTGTATTGATGTTGATTTTAAAGTTCTGATTTGTTATTGATATTGTGTTTGGTTCTGTATTTTGTCCTGTGAACTGCCCAGAGAGCCATTTTGGCTAATGAGCAGTATAGAAATTAAATAAATAATGCATGATTAGCATAAGCCTGAGGGACAATACAAAATTCCCACTTGTATAGAACAGGAATTTAGTGAATATGAGGGGGCAAGACCTGGCAACCAGCCCACAACATGGACTGCCTCCACAAGGGTCTGTTAAGAGTCTATTACACAGGACAACTGACAGACATTAGCCTTACACTTCTTCTCTTTTTCTTTTAGCTTCTGTCTATTCCTAAATATATTAGGCAGAGAGCTGTCTACCTCTTTAAAAATATGGAGTAAGATGGGGATGCATTAAGATTATTTGATGCCTTGACAACATCAGATCAAGAATTTATACCTGCTCTGTATTTCCTTCTGAATAAACTTCCCTTTTGCTTCAAACGCATTGTGTATCCATCTTAATGTAAGACCAGAGTATGTTGCCTTTAACAGTGCATGTTAGACCCCCAGCAAAAGTTCCAAAACCTCCAAAGTATCCATGAAGTAAACACCCACTTTTGAAATGTATTAATCCCCAAGAATACCTGGTATGACATGTATCCTGCTGGAAAATAGATAGAATGCCTTTTCCAAGCTGGCAAAAACTATTCTCTACTTAACTGCTTAGGAAGTCTGTTCATCTAAAGATCATCCTGGTTTTCCATGTAATGGTATCCTTCCGATTCTAAGGCAAACAGTTCTTTGTATACCAGATGGAAACTAGACTGGTGCCATGATAAGCCTGGATCTCTACTCATCTGAAATCCAGTTTATGTTGTCAGTTTACATTGGACAAATGTTCCTTGTTCCTTATTTAGTAGTTCCTTATTTAGTAGATATAACCAGTAGCTTAGAAGGCTAGGAGCAAACTGGATCTCAGAGGGAAAGTTTCTTCTCCGGTCCACTCCAGGGATCTGTCCCTCACATAGCTTTGGCCATTGCCATTCCTGTTTGCCCTCCAATATGAACAGAAGTTAACTGTCAATTGCTGTGACTAGGAAGGAAATCTACCATCTGTGTGATTGGGTTATGCACTGTGTGTATTGGGGTGGGGTGGGGCAGTCCGTATTGCCTTAGTCATAGCAGTATTCTTGCTTCTTGTGTATGTATCCTTTGTCACAAATTTGTACTTCAGGCACTTGGGGCATTTGGCCAGAGGCATTTCAGATATAAGTGGGAGTTGTTGTGATGCATCTGCCAGAAATGGAGATGTGCTTATAGACAGAATATGCTTGTTGTCCCCGCAAAAAAGGAAAAAAAGCTTTTAAAAGAGAATTTAAAAGAATTTCATTAACATATCTCCTTGATTTATTGAGTAGCTCTTGTGACAGGATTCCAAGTGCCTTTTCACATTGTACTCCTTTAAGACTGAGACAGTATCGAGACATATCAGGCTACTTTAAGCTTGTTTAAAACAAAAACACACTCAGTAGCCCATTTGTAATTAAAGGCAAGGTGCTCATCTACAATGTTTCATTCTTTGAAACAGCACTTTCTTTGCAGACATCTTCTTAAATTTTTTTTAGCAGAGCAGCAGTTGCAGAGTTTCAGTATTATTCTTGAATAAATAAAAATGTCTAACTCTTTCATATCAAATCCACCCCACTCTGGTTGCTGTTAGCTGGGGATTTTCATTTTGACCATGGCAAAGAAGAGACACCAGCCTCTACAGTTCACAGGAATATTGGGCCATATGCACAGGCTAAGAAGAATTTTGTAAAAATGGATTATGAATCTGGCCTACCAGATGGCAGGGTTGCAATTCTAAGCATATTAAATACTGTGAGATTTATTTCCTAATAAACACAGTGCCTTGAGGTTTAAATCTACACATGCTAATACTTTAAAAATTGGGGGCCCTCCAAAAAAGGGCAGGTAGAGAGAAAAAGCAAATGAAAGAGTAGCCTCCCAGCTGGAGCAGAAGGAACTTATTCCATTAAGTTCCCTTCAAATTATATTCAGGGTGCACATATACATTACTGCCTGCCAGCCAAGCTTCAATCATGAGAAGCAAAATGGCAGCCAGGGAAAAGGGAACTTGTCTGGAGAAAGATGTGGGAAGGGGAATCCCATAAACTTTCCTGCTAAGAGAGTGCTCTATCTCTCTCAGTCCAA